TTAAAATGTTTGTTTACATTTGTTTACATGATTTGCAAGTTATAAAACAGCAATTTAAACTTTGAAGAACTATTGCAAATGATCTAGTAGGTTGTTTTTAATAATTTACTATCATTAGAATAGTCTCAATCTAAAGAACAACTTTTGGTAGTACATGAAAGTAAGGTTTACATAACACTAAATCTAGTTATAATATAATTTTTATTTTTTACTATATAATAGCAGAGATCATCATGTGATCACATGAATTTCAGCATCATCCGATTTCACGATCATCTGCGACAATAAATATTTATGAGCAACATACACCAAAAATCCAGTCTCTTACCTTAAAAAAATATAATACTTCCACAGCTTGTTTCAGAACAGTAATATCATTAATTTGAGTAGAAAACCTGAATGTTGGTCCTTCAAACCCAAAATATAAACCATCATCTAATAAGTCGACACCAATTACTTGGCCATACAAAGCTAAACACAATAAAATAGATATCGCTATAAGTATAATACAATGCGTAATATATGTATTAAAAGCCTTACCTGCTAATTGCAACCCGATGACTGCAGAGTTTTTGATTATTTCATCAGATAGATTATGTGAGAGAAATTGATCAAGAACAGATTTGTTGGTTCTCAAACATTTACTACGATCATTGATAATCTTGGTAGGATTTGTTCTACGCGCACACTCAGAATGACTGAGCTCCACATTTTTTCCTAGATTTTTTCCTCGATATATAATCTGTAAATTGATTTTTCTTCCTACTGTCATTACTTTTGAAACTGTTTCTCCCCTGTAAATATTTACAATCAGAATATTAATTGATATTCACTCCAGAAAAAATATTCACTCCAGAAAAAAACAGTATACTTACCATTTGAGCTGAACAAGGTGTTAAACATTAGAAAATATTATATCTAATATTGGATCCGCAACTTTGAGTGCAAATTCAATTTCCGTTAAATTTTGTTTATTCCCTTCCCTATCTACAAAAACATAGGAATCTACAAGAAATATTTCTATACTAATTATAAAAATTAAAAATTAATTAGACAGCCGTTGCAAATATAATTGTATAAAGATACATAGTTATATACATAAAATAAATTTTTATGACTTGTCAATGAAAAGTTTCATTTCGATCTGGGCGTCTCTTTAATTTTTCATACACAATTCTCTTGCTTTCCAGTATTTATATTCATCGCAACGCTGAATATTGAAAAAGGTTCAATAAAACATCCATAATAAACATCTGATCAATAGATCATTTACATACCTCCTCTATTTTTTCGATGTCACTTTTGATTACACCTTCGAACATCTTTGGCCTGATGTTTATATTCGCTAGCACCTTTGCTTTAAGATCTAGCCATTTGTCTCCAAACCATGAGTACATACTACCTAAAAATTCCGAAGAGAGATCAACAATTAAGGAAAGCACGAGCCTACATAAGTGATTACCAAAGATTAGTATTGCACTAATAAAGTATATGCAAGAAATTATATACCGAATGGCGCTTAAACCACTGCATCTAATTTTTTCTTTTTTGATTGCAGTTCATTGGCTTGTTCGATAGCTTTTGATGTCATACGAATAAGAACACCTCTAACCCTTTCACCATTCTTTAACATCCACCCTCCTTCACTTTTATTTGAATCTGTGAATTGATTGAATGAAGTTGCACTAAAATCGATAACATCTTCTTCGTCTGAAGTTTCTTCTTCTTTATTTTCATCGTCCTCAGGTTCGCTTTCAGATGGATATTCTACAAGACGCAACTTGAAATCCTTAAAAATGTTAAAAGTAATTATTCAGTCTTTGATCCACCTAAATAGTGATATACCTTATCTGGCTTATCTAACTTAACATGTTCAAAGTTTTCTGACTTTCGTTTACGAGATGGAGTAGAGGACTCTGCTGAAATCTTGGCATGAAAATTTTTGCGAATGTTATTATCCTGTCGGTACACTCAGTGTTGTTGACTGGAAGCTGGAGCCTCACTGGACGTCTAGATATTTCCAGTGTTCCGGTGGTTCCAGTGAAGTTTTCACTGGAAGAGATTATTTCACTGGAACCGATATAATACTAGCCAATAAGGTTACGAATAAGAATTAAGGTTATTATAAACACGTGATATGCCTGATATCCAAT